GGGGGGGGGGGGGCTGGGGACCTGGGCAGCTGGCTGGGGGACCAATGACGACAAAGTCACTGCTGTCAAAGACTCAGGTGTGCCAAGAAGTCTCCTTGAGGGGAGAGACGGAGAGTCCCCTGTGTGGACGGCTGTGTCATGGTGGTTAGGGCAGATGACACAACATGAGGCAGTCACTGTGACAGGGAATACAGGGACCTGGAGACTCTGATCATATCCCTCCTCCCTGCTTCTCCCTTTTCCTTTCCCTGACTCCCTCCCTGAAAGTCCCCTTTCTCTTTTTTCTTTCTGAGTCTGGTTTTCTTTGCTTTTCATGGTGATCTCCACTTTCACCCATTTTACCACAAATGACACGATTTCATTCTTTTTCATCGCTGAATAATACTCCATTGTGTGTATGTAACACATTCCCCCCACTTTTCTCTTTTGATACCGTGGATTGAACCAAGGGGTGTTTAATCCCTGAGCCCCGTCCCCAGCCCTTTTTATATTTTATTTAGAGACAGGGTCTCCATAAGTTGTTTAGGGCCTCACTAAGTGGCTGAGGCTGGCCTCAAACTTGGGATCCTCGTGCCTCAGCCTCCTGAGCCGCTGGAATTACAGGTGTGTGTCACTGTGCCCTGAGCTCAGTCCAAGGTGTATTGACCCCATTGCTCTGGGGCTTTGGCAGGTGACCGTGGTGGAAACGCAGGGGCAAATCCACTTGCTTCACGGCTGGAGAGTGAAAGGCAGGGGCTGGGGTCCCCCAGCTCCCCTCAAGGGCCCACCCCAGGGACCTGAAGGCCTCCTATGGGGCCACACCTCTTGAGGGTCCCACCACGTCCAGCAGCACGGAGCTGGTGACCCAGCCTTCGACACACAGGCCTCGGGATCCAAACTGTCTCACAGTTTAGTGACTTTTGACAGTGGCCAGCCAGGTGACACTTTTCAGTACACAGGAACTGTCACCACTGTCCTGTCAACCACAGTTGACCTTTGTCACCACAGAGCGGCTGGTCACAAACATCTTGCACAAGGACACCCACGGCCCCAGCTCTGTGGAATGTGGCCTCTTTCCCTGAGTCTAGGACGTGGCTCTGATGGTGACTTTTTCTGGATAAGTCACATTTATATAAATGCGTCCCACTTTGCCATCCTTCCTCCTGTGGCCATCTGAGTCGGGGCCATTTCTTGGCCGTGACGAATGACCCCTGTGAACCCTGAGAGACCCTTTGTGTGGACAGAGGGTCTGTTTCTCTGGGGTAAAAATCCTGAGAGAGGGGACTGGGCTGGAGTTAAGTCTTAGGGACAAAGTCAGCTTATTTGCTGCTGTGACTCAAGGACCCTCCAGCACAACTGCACAGGGGGACAGTGGACGTGGGGCTCAGGGTGTCCCAGGTCCCAGTCCACAGATGGCAGCTCCACTCCTGGGCCGAGGGGAGGCAGGACATCATGGAGGAAGAGTGTGGGGAGGGAGCAGCTCCCATGGGGACCAGGGAGCAGGGACGCCACTCTCCAGGGACAAATAGGGACCCCAAGCCACAGCCCCAGGGCCACCTCCTCCCCCACACCCCACCTGCCTCCAGGGGACCCCAGGGAGCCATTCCCTGCCAGGGTTCAGGCCTCACACCCCTCACTCCTCCTCTGGACCTTCCTGTGTCACCTCCCACGGGGACTGTGGGGACACAGTGTCCAGCCCAGAACAGCAGGTGTGGGACGCCATCCCAGCCAGAGAGCTGCCTTGGAACAGAGCCGGCATCTGGAGTCAGAGGGACTTGCGTGTGTTCCCTGGCTTCGTCACCACTTGCTGTGTGACCCTGGGCAGGTGGCTTCACCTCTCTGAGCTCTCTTCCCTCCGGGCTTTGCTAGGCTTGGCTGTGTGACCCTGTGACCTTGGGCACATCAGTTCTGTTTCCTTAACCTATAAACCCTCGTCCGCCCTTCACCTCCGTGAGGTGTATACAGTAGGCACTCTCCCATTTCACAAATGGGCGAACTCACCTGTAAACGGGAGGTTATCCCGGCTCACAGCGAGGTGTCCTGACAATCTGTGACAGTCTCACTCCCAGGTGGCACGGAGCCTCCCCACGCTGTCCTGAGCCTTTAGCGGGTGTCCCCGGCCAGTGTCGCTGAGCTCCATGAAGCCAGCTCCAGGCAGGTGGCCCTGGACCCCACCCAGCGGCTTGGCTGACCAGGGAGGCCCGGGAGGCCCGCTGGGCGGGTGGGGACGAGCCAGCGCCTGTGCCCAGGCGGCAGGGTGGCCCGTCTCTTCCCCGCCCCGTGGCGGGGCCTCTTAGCCCAGCCTCAGGGGGTTCCCCGTTGTTGTTGGTGGCACTGTGACAGCTGGCTGCTGTCGGAGAGCCCTTGCCGGCCCCTCCCCCCACGTGGGAAAAGTTACAAAATCCTTTATGCAAGTGACTTCCAGGCCTGGAGCTGGGGACCAGGGGACCACGGGGACAAGGGAGGGACACTGCACCCAGGAAGCACCTGTGTCACCCAGGCTGAGTTGCCACCTGCATCCTGCACACCGGCTCCAGCCCTGAGGCTCAGGATGGGGACCCTGTGACCCCTGGAGGGGGGCAGCTGTCAATCAGAGCCGGTGTCCTGGAAGCCCCAGATGGCCCAGCCCGGGGGGCTTCGGAGGGACTCCTACAGGGGACAGGCGCTAAGGGCTGGTCTGGTTGAGGCTGTCAATCACGGGCTCCTGTTTGGTGACATCTTTCCAGGTTTGCCTACACAGCTCCCCAGGCTCACCCCCAGCCTGTCCCGGCTGTCACCAGGGGTGACCAGGCCAGCCAGGCCAGCCTCGACCTCTTCGTGAACTTGGTGCCTTAACCTGTGACCAGGGACTGAGTGCTGGTGCCTCACCCTGGGCTGTCCCCAACCCTGTTCTGTGTTTAAAGACAGGGTCACCCTGAGCTGCTGAGGGCCTTGCTAAGTGCCCGAGGCTGGCCTCCGAGTTGCGATCCTCCTGCCTCAGCCTCCAGGTCGCTGGGATGACAGGCGTGGCCACCACACCCTGCTCCGTGGGGCACAGCAAGGCGCACAGATCCCATGACCAGGCCTGACTTGCAGTGGCCTCGATGCTGGCCATCAGGACACTGCTCATGGCCCTTAGGCCAACAGTCCTGGGTGCCCTGTGGCCCTGCGGTCACTCCCAGGGTAGGGTCCCCGTTCCTGGGGGGAGTGTCCCTGTGCACGGGGGAAAGGGCTCCCAGCCTCTGGGACTGAGGCTCTGGTCCTGACCGCCCCCCACAGCTGTGGGTCGATGGACACCAACTGTCCTCCCCCCAGAGGGCCTGGAGCCCGGAGGGTGGCCTCTGTGGACGGCTGGACAGGCCCAGGCCCTTGGTGGCACAGTCAAGGTCGGCAGAGCCCACTGCTGGCCTGTCCCCAGCCCTGACGTCCCTGTCCTTGGCACTCTGTGGACTCTGAGGGGTCACCCTGCTCCCACCCAGGAGGGGTCGCCAAGGGACACCTTTGACACTCAGTCCCCACCTGCCTCCGGTCCCCTCGTGGGCTCACACAGACCCCAGGGCCAGAGACCCTCCCAGACCCCAACCCCAGCGGCCTCAGCCCGGACACTAAGATGGACAGCAGCCCACGTGGGGTCACCGCCCTGGGCTCCCGTCTGTCCCCTCAGTCCCTGGGAGGCAGGGGACCCACCCCAAGAAGACACGGCAGCCAGTCCAGTCAAGAGCCTTTATGGGTCTCGGGGACAGAAGCCCCACAGTGACAAACCGCAGCCTGGAGGTCCCCGGCCCGCGCTGGGCACAGGTGGCTTTGGGGCCCTTGGGTCAGATCCAGGTCACCACGGGGGAAGGGACCCTGTTGGGCCTGGGCTCTGCTGCAGGGGGCGGTGTAGGGACAGCCTGGGATCGGGGGACCCTGCCCGGCCCCAGCACGGGGTGCGAGGGACACTGCAGGAGCCCGTGGACGCACCTGGAGGGTGGGCCAGGTCAGCTGACCAGTGTCCCCACCCCCCCACACCGTGCCCGGGGCTAGGTGGCAGTCACTGGCTTGGAGGGGGGGGGTGCTCCCGTCACCCCACACCCGAGGGGACTCTGAGTGTCCCCTTCAGGGCAGAGGTGGCGGAGGGGCCAGAGGCAGGCACTCGGCTCTGTGCATGGGGACAGGAGGAGGACCTGGGGACTCGGGGTGAGGCCACTGGAGATGCAGGCCCAGGACCCACCCCAGCTGCCACCAGCCTGGGACAGAGACCTCGCTGCCACCACCCTGGACACCCCGCCTGGGGCCTCGGTTCTGTGGGACCTGGCTTGGCCCCACTTTCCCTCGTGTCCCCTCCCCAGCCACCTCCCTGTCCCCCCACACCCCTCCAGGCCCCTTCTGAGCTGACAGGTCGTCCCCAGGACCTGCCCCTGCGGCTGAGTGGGCGATCCACGGGGTGTCCTGGGCCCCCCCCCCTTCGTCACCACACGGGGACCTCGCAGGAGCAGGCCCAGACCTTGCTTTATTGGGGGGACCCCAGACTGGAGAGCCCCCCTGCGTCCCTGCCCCAGGTCCCACGTCACACGGCTGGGGACATAGGCCCCCCGGGCGCCTGGCGCTGGGCTGTCCTCGGCAGCGTGGCTCCTGACACCTGAGGCATGGACAGTGGGACAGCCACCTGCGACTGGGGGAGAGCCCAGCAGGGTGGAGATGGGGACGTCCTCTGTGTCACCGACCAGGACGTGTCCAAACCACAGGGCCCCCTGGCCTCCCGGCCTCCTCTCCTGTTCTGAAGACCTGCGGCCTCCACAGGGCCTGGTCCGACCCTGGACCCCAGGGGATCTTGCCTGGCCACTGTCCTGCCCACGGGGACCAGGGACCCGGGCGGGGAGCAGGGGGGCCGCGGCGGGCCCTCCTCTGGCCCAGGCGGGGACGGCTCGGCCCTCCTTCCCCTCGGTGCGCTGGGCGCCCAGGGCCCCACAGGGTGGACACGGCACTAGAGCAGGTGGTGGCGGGCCGGAGACAGGCTGGTGCCACCTAGCGCAGCGCAGGTCACGACACCGAGGGCGAGAGCAGCGGGGTGTCTGAGCTCTGGGTGGAGATGCTGGGCGACTGGGGTCCGATGAGATCCAGGTTGCGCAGGTTGAGGATGGAGTCGGCGATGATGCGCGCCGTGCGCTTCTGGTAGCCCCCCGAGGTCACCATGAGGATAGGGATCTGCCGGCTTCGGACCACCCGGAACACCAGCTCGTCCCGCTTCACGATGCCCTGCGCGGGGATGGGGAGTGGAAGTCCTGCTGCAGATCTAGCCCTTCTCCGGCCTGCTGTGGCTTCCACCCACAGGCTCCCAGCTTTCCTGCTGCTGCAGAATCCCCCAGAGCCCGTGCCCCCCGCCAGCGTCAGGACCTACCTCTGGGCTGATGGCCAGTCCCCCGAGGCGGTCCCCCTCGAGGACATCGGTGCCAGCGTTGTAGATCACCACGTCCGGGCTGTGCTCCTGCAGGGCCTTCTCCATGTTCCTCTCCACCTTGTGCAGGTACTCCTCGTCCTCCGTGCCCCAGTCCAGCTCCACCTTGCGCCTGATGGCCTCTGGGACAGGGGGACACAGAGTGCCCATGTGCAGGAAGACTGGGGCTCAGGATGGGGAAGCCCGTGAGCCGTCGGGGCTCAGTCACTTGGACCACACTCGTGGCAGACTCACCCGCACCCCAGGCAGCAGTGGCCCTGTTATGGTCTGGGTGTGGGGTACCACCCAGGCCCAGGGGAGAAAGGCTGGTAGACAACCTGTGGAAGCACCAGAAGGGGCTGGACCTTTAAGAGGCGGAGCCAAATGGAAGGAAGTAATGTCACTGGGGGCGTGGCAGGGCCTTTAAGAGGCAGAGCCAAATGGAAGGAAGTGATGTCACTGGGGGTGTGGATGAACCTTTAAGAGGTGGAGCCAAGCAAAAGGAAGTGATATCACTGGGGGTGTGGCTGAACCTTTGAGAGGTGGAGCCAAGCAAAAGGAAGTGACGTCACTGGGGGCGGGGCTCCACTGCTCTCTCTCTGCTGCCCCTGTGCTCCCTGCCATGACCTGCTGCTCTGCCACAGGCCCCAAGCCATGGAGCCAAAGGTCCACAGACCTGAGCCCCCAAAACACTGATGCAGACCCACCTGTCCTTCCTGTAAGGTGTCCACCTCAGGTGTTTTGTCACAGAGGTGAAAAGCTGAGGGTCCCAGGTCCCTGCCTGCAGAATGGGCAGGTTCCCGCCCACCAGCCTCATCTGGGCATCTCGGCCTTTTGGTGGACGAGTTTAACCCACTTTCCTTCATTTTTCAGGAACGTGCACTTGAACTTATTTTGCCATCTTATTTTGTGTCTCCTCTTTTCTTGTCTGTCCACTGGTTCCCCCTGACATATGGACACTGTGGTCTTAGGTGGGTCTAGTGACTTCATTTATTTATTTTTATTTTTTTATTTTTGGTCCCGGGGATCGAACCCAGGGGACCTTAACCCCTGAGCTACATCCCCAGTTCTTTTTATATTTAGAGACAGGGCCTCGCTGAGTTGCTCAGGGCCTCACTAAGTCGCTGAGGCTGGCCTCTACCTCCCAATCCTCCTGCCTCAGCCTCCCAAGCTACTGGGATTACAGGCATATACCACTGTGCCTGGCTTCTTCAGGTCCCAGTGTCCTTATGTGTCAAAGGGGAACAACCCCCACCTTGTAGGGATACTGAGGAAAAAGGAGGAGACTTCTATGGGGTTTGGAATGTAGGACATCTCGGGGAGGTAGCCCCATCTGAGTAAGCGTGCATTGGAGATGCAGGGGACAGCAGCTTACGCTTGGCAAAGCGGTCCCCGGGGTAGATGTGGCGGTTGTAGACGTCCATGATATACACACGCTTGTCGTCCATGAAGTCCCGCTCGTGCCCGTTGCCCTGGGAGGACACAGAGGCTGCTCTCAGGCAGGAGCCCTGGGGACGCAGGACTCGCCCACCCCACCCTCCAGTGTGACACTCCCCTGTACTGGGCAGCGTAGCTTGCCCTTGAGGACAGAAGCCTCCGTGGCTGGGATCCAGACTGGGACCTGGCTTCCGATCTACAGGAGGACCCCAAGGAAGCCAGGCCTCTAGGGAGTCCCCACCCCGCCTCCTGCTCGAGTCTGCGGGCGCCAGGTGGGATCAGGGGTAAGAAAAGCCAGCTGTAAAGGGCTGAGCAGTGTCACCTGACCTGAGGGAGCCCAGCCAGCCCAGGGCCACTAAAGGAGGAGAGCAGGAGGGGCCGCTCCATCCCACCCTGCTCACAGTCCCGAAAAGAAGGAGCCCATGAAGTGAGGCCCAGGGGCCTCGGGGGGCCTGGGAACTGTGTGTGAGCCTCGGTTTAAGGGACAAGGGTCCCCGGAGCTCATCCGCGCCGTGCAGAAGGCGGCACTCAAATGGTTGGCAAGCAGTAGGGAGCCACAGCAGGGTATAGAGCACCGTCAGACCTTGGCTCAGGACGAGCCACTGTGTGGTGATGGTGAGGAGGGAGGGAGGACCCAAAAGCAGGACCTGTCCCCCTGGATGGGCTTGGGAGGGCACAGGGACAGAGAGTCCCTCCACCCGGGCCTGAGAAGCAGAGGAGGGGACAGAGGCCTCATGCAGGACGTCCCTGGAAGGAGGGAACCCTCCGCGCAGGGTTGGGGTGGACAGGAGCTGCTGGGGACACAGGGAGGGGGTCCCCTGCCACGGGGGATGCGGGACGGGGCTCCCACGGGCGCTCACCTGATGGGCATCGAGGTCAATGATGGTGGCCTTGGAGACGCCGTCCACTCGCTCAAAGAGAAACTGCCAAAGGAGGGGAGGGCAGGCATGAGGACAGGGTGGAGAACAGGGGGACGCAAGGGCAGGGGGACATGAGGGCACAGGCCGCAGGCCCTCTCGCCAGTGGGCCCGAAGGTCACTTTCCGGGAGAGCTGTGTGGGCAGTGGTCAGATCCCGGGCCTCCCCACACTCCCCTGGAAATGCACAGATGTTGGGGGACCCCAGCCTTTCTGACACTAGGGCCGGGGGACCTTGTCCTCTGAACCCCGTCCCCAGCCCTGTTCTGTGTTTTATTTAGACACAGGGTCTCGCTGGGCTGCTGAGGGCCTCGCTTTGGCTGAGGCTGGCCTCCAGTTTGCGATCCTCCTGCCTCGGCCTCCCCAGCTGCTGGGATGACAGATGGGCCCCGAGGCCCAGCTTCCCCAGGCTTTGCCTCCTGCAGGGCCGAGCCCTTGAGCCTCCTCTGGAAGCCTCCCTCCTTCCCCTCCTGCCCTCCCCTGGGTCTCTGTGCTCCCCCCCTCTCGAGGGCCATGGTGGCTGACCCCTGCCCGTCCCCACACCCAGCATGAGGCCACTGCAGAGTGGCTGGGGGCTCTGGGGTCCGGCAGTCCTGAGGGCCACCTCCCAGCTCACTCTGGTGCGTGACAAGCCCCGCTGGGCCTCAGTCTCCCTGGGAGTCCCCCGTGGGGGTCCAGCCGTGGGGGACAGCTGGCGGGGCTGGGCGCACAGTGGGCGCCGGCTGCTGCCAGGTCCCTATTGTCGGGTCCCTTGCTATACCCCCTTGGCCCCCTGGTCCCCTACCTCACTGACCAACCCCGGTCAATGGCTGGCCCCATAGAACTCAGGACCCCGGGCCCCTGGAGCCTGGTCCCCACCCGCATTCGGGGACACACCTTGATGGCCAGTGTGATGTCCGCGTAGGCACAGAAGCCCCCGCCCCGGTCGCTAGAGCAGTGGTGGAAGCCGCCCCCTGCAGAAGGCAGACGGCGGTCAGGGCCATGGTCAGGGCCACCAGGGGCTTGGTCCTCTCCACGGTCCCCCTCCAGCCCCGGAAAGTCCCCTCCAGCCCCAGGTGGGCAGAGAGCTGGTCATCTGCCCGGGCTGGGAGCCCACAGCCACCCTGCAACTCCTGAGGGACCTGGCCGCAGGCTGCTCTGAACAGACCGACACCTGCCCTGGGGGCCACATCCGAGGGGGCGCAGCCCTCCCACCAACCAGGTCACTGGCTTGGGTCACAAGGCAGTGGCCGCCCCCTTGGGGCTCCTCCCAGGGCCCAGCTGGCTGGAGACTCCCAACAGCCCCGAAGAGGGCACTGTCACCACTAGGCCCTTTTAAAGAGGAGACTTTAAAACAGAGAGGGTCAGCAGTTTGCCCAGGGTCACACAGCTAGGTCGGGGCAGAAGCAGGATCTGAACCTGGCTGGGCCAGGACCCGGACCTTCGGCCAGACCACCAGACTCTCCACGGGAGACGGGCCCTGGGCCATGGAGTCCCCTGGAGGGCATCAGGGGCCCTCAATTGCGCGGGTCACCATGACACCATCTCTGGGCATCAGCACCCAGAGGTGACCAGAAGGAGGTCACGGCCAAGGCCCACAGGAGCCTCCTGGTGGGAACTGGGCTGCCTCAAGTAGGAGAGGACACCAGGGGGCTCCGCAGACTGTGAGCGCTGTGTCCCCAGGAGGGAGTGACGGGGCGAGGGAGCCAAGCTTGTGCGAGAGTCCAGGGGCCAGGAGGCGCTGGGCCCTGAGAAGGCGCGTCTGCCCACCGACGTGTGACCAGCCAGGCCCTGGGGACACCGGAGCCTTTCTTTCTTTTTTTGTGGGGGTGAGGGGGGTACTGGGGACTGAACTCGGGGGCACCTGACCCCTGACCCCGTCCCCAGCCCTTTTTCTATTTTATTTAGAGACAGGGTCTCGCTGAGCTGCTCAGGGCCTCGCTAAGTTGCTGAGGCTGGCCTCCAACTCTCAGTCCTCCTGCCTCAGCCTCCTGAGCGGCTGGGCAGATGGAGCCTTTCAGGGGCCATGTGGAGGCAGGTGTCCTAGCGACCTGCCTAGGGGACAGGCAGGCTCTCTGGAGGGAGGCTGGGGAACTCTCTAGGTGAGGGTCCCACTTACCAGGTGCCCTGAGGGTGCCTCCAGGTCCCTGCATAAGGAATTTCAGGGTGGCTACCTCTAGTCCCGTCCTGTGCCCAGCCCCCCTCAGGCCAGCTCCACGGGGCACTCACCTACGTTGATGGCCCAGCCGCGCTCCACCGCCAGCTTTCCCGCCTTCGGGGACAAGCAGAGAGTGAGGTGAGGCGCCCCTCCACCCGCTCCACCCACGGGGTTCCAGCCAGCTCCCTGTGGCCACCGGGGGAGGACGCAGGAGCCACCCACCCCAGCCCCAGCCCACTCAGCCCTTCCGGGGGCAAACCTGCGACTGGGCAGGGGGGCAGAATCAAACTGAGGACTTATCACCAGAAGAGGGTGATTTGATTTTGTTTGTTTGGGTCCCAGGAATTGAACCCAGGGCTGCTCAACCCCTGAGCCCGGTCCCTAGCCCTTGTCATATTTTATTTAGAGACAGGGTCTCTCTCAGTTGCTCAGGGCCTTGCTAAGTGGCTGAGGCTGGCCTCCACCTTGCGATCCTCCTGCCCCAGCCTCCCGAATAGCTCAGATCACAGGCTTAGCCACCAAGCCCCGCAGAACATGCTCTGGGGGTTAGAGGCACCTTCTACACCAGCAAATATGGCGACCGGAATGCGGGGAAGGAACAGTGAATTCTAAGGTCCCCAGATGGGAAAGAGTCTTGGAGAAAGGGTCCCTCTTCTGAGGTTTGAGTGACATTTAGGGCTTTGCTCTCCACCCTGAGTGGGGGCGGGCACTGCAGGGCAGGAGAGGCACCTGGTGGGCCCACCCTACCTACCATGATGGTTCCTCCTGTCTGGATCCGAAGGGGCCGCAGCACCTTCCTCTGCACAAGGAAGTTGGGGAGGAAGATGACAGGAGGGATCTCTGTGATGGTGGCGACCGCGAAGGACCACTGTGGAGAGAGAGGAGGACCCAGGAAGTGAGACTCCCCTCAGCACCCGGGACGGACTTGGGCTCCCTGGGTAAATGCACTTCCTGTGGCAGGAAGTGAGAGCCAGGGCCAGGCACAGCGCACTGGCCTGCGATCCTAGCAGCTCAGGAGGCTGAGGCAGGAGGATCACGAATTGGAGGCCAGCCTCAGCAACCCAGCAAGGCCCTGAGCAGCTCAGCGAGGCCCTGTCTCTAAATGAAATGAAAAGGGCTGGGGATGGGGCTCGGGGGTAAAGAACCCCTGGTTCAGTCTCCACCATGGAAGGAAGGGACAGAGGAAGGAGGGACAAAGGATGGGACAGTCGGAGGGAGGGCAAGGCTGCTACGGCCACCGGCCCCTCCCAGGCCAGGCTGCAGGACCAGGTCAGCCCCAGGGTCCTGGGCGCCTGAAGCCCTTGGCTGCCCTCTGGTGTCCACAGGAAGAACTGCAGCTGGGTGGACCTTGGCCTTCCTGGGCGCCCGGCCAGGGACCCTGCGGCCCTGCGCAGTCTTCTGCTCCTGAGGGGGTTAGACGCCCCGAAGGTGAAGGGCCCAGACACCTCCAGGTCCCCGGGCACACACATCACGCACTGACCCCAACCCTGCCTGGCTGAGATGCATCCAGGGCACTTTCCCTGTCACCAACTCCTGCAAGAGCCCCACAGGGCCCAGCGACATGTCCAGGGACAAGTCACTCACCTTGCAAGCACTAGCACGAGCCTCCTGAGCGCCCACCCTCAGGCCAGGCCGCTCAGCCTGGCAGGAGGCTCAAGTCCATGATCAAGAGAAGCCAGGAGCCGGAGCCAGGGGTGCGCTACCTGTCATCCCAGCGGCTCAGGAGGCTGAGGCAGGAGGATGGCAAGTTGGAGGCCAGCCTCAGCCACTTACAAGGCCCTGAGCAACTCAGGGAGACCCTGTCTCTAAATAAAATTAAACAGGGCTGGGGACGGGCTCAGGGGGTCAGCATCCCTGCAGGGCGGTGGGTGACCGTCCCGGGCGGGTCCTGCCCGTGCACACTGTCGCTGCAGCAGTGGGGAAGGCACAGAGTGCTGTCCCAAGCTGCTCCCGTGTGAAGCACAGGGCGAGGCACAGGACTGGGCACTGCTGATGGGCTGTAGCTGGCACAGGAGGCCCTCTGCTAACCCCACCCAGCAAGGGCTCGGCTCTGGGGCCAGGCTGGACAGAAGTGGGGCGGGGACAGGCCGGCAGCAGCCTCTTCCCTGGGCCCTGCCCTGGGCTGTGTGATTTTGGACACAGCCCTTGCCTTCTCTGTGCTTTGGGCTCCCCATCTGCAAACAGGGCCTCGAGTGAGGCCCTGGAATGGACACCTGTCGCAGGGGCCTGTCCTCGGCCGTCTCCACTACCCGGACCTGGGCTGCCCCGAGCCCCTCAGCTCTCCCTTCCTGCAGCACTTGTCCCCGGTGGTCACTGCGTCCCTCACTACGGTGGCAGCACCTTGCCTGCCCTCCCCGCCCAGGATGCTCCTGGAACTGCCCGCAGCCGGGTCCCCACCCCTGGCTCTGCTCCTAAGGCTGTGGTGGCCCAAGGGCAGCAGCATAGCACTGAGAATATGTCACACAGGCCAAAGCGCAGTCCACACCAGGGACATCAGGGACATCGGATCCCAAAGCCCCGGGTGGCACTGGCAGGCACAGGTTGGGATGAGCCACGCGGGTGGTCAGGACCGACCTGAGGCCACGCCCAGGACCCCTGGGCCAGGCAGGGTGGGAGGTCCCGCCAGACGGTGGCCAGGAGTCAGGGCCTCCACCCGGCTAGCCTCAGTGGGGGGCCACCTCTGCAGGGCACACGGCCAGGCCCACTCTGGAACCTTCTGCCCACCCGCCCTGCTGCAGAGACCCCACTCTCCTGCGGCTGGGTCTCCCCTGCGGACATCCTCACAGAGGTCCGGACCCAGGTGTGCGGTCAAGGGGGGACCGGCCACCCCACTGTTCCCGTGGAAGTGACTCTGCCCCGTCCCCAGCCCTTTTTACATTCTATTTAGAGACAGGGTCTCACTGAGTCGCTCAGGGCCTTGCTAAATTGCTGAGGCTGGCCTCCACCTTGTGATCCTCCTTCCTCAGCCTCCTGAGCCGCTGGGATTAGAGGAGTATGCCACTACACCCAGCCATCCCTAGGCCTTTTTATTTTTTATCTTGAGACAGGGTCTTGCTAAATTGCTGAGGGCCATGCTAAGTTACTGAGGCTGTTCTCCAACTTGCGATCCTCCTGCCTCAGCCTCCCAAGTTGCTGGGATGACAGGAGTGCGCCATCGTGCCTGGCCAAAGGGCATTTATTTTTTAACCTACACCCCAAAACAAAATAAATCAAACAATACCCACAGTGAATATCATAATGGTAAACGACTTTCCACCTAAAGTCAGTGCTAAGACAAAGTTGCCTGCTTTGCCGTTTCTACTCAACACAGTATCAGAGGGTCAAGCCTAAGCAATTAAGCAAGAAAAATAAATAAAAATGCACCCAGATTAGAAAGTAAAACTCAGTCTATCCACAGAGGGCACTATGACAGACTCAGAAGATCCTGGAGAATGTACACACGCAAACACTGACGTGAGAACAACACAGCAAGGTTGCAGGATATAAGATCCATGTGCAAAAATCAGTTGTCTCTCTAAAAACGAAACCAAAGAGGCCGTTCCATTAATAGCTTCGAGAAGAATCAACATGCTTGAGAATGAATTTAACCACAAGGTGAAAGACTGAGCTACGGAAAACTAGAAAACACCCCTGAAAGAGATGAAAGAAAACCTCAGCGAACGGAAAGACATCCCATGTTCATGGATCGGGAGACCAAACACGGGGAAGAGGCAGGACCTCCCGAGGAGGAACACAGACTGGAGGCAGTCCCTGTCAGCAAAGGGACAAGTGGACACTATAATGCATACGGACTCTCAAAGAAGCCCAAGTGGCCAAAACAATCTGGAAACAGAAGGACCAAGTTGGTTTGGGAGTCCACACGTCGAGACCTGTCACAGAGACCCAGGGATGAGGCCGGCTGACAGACGGCAGACCCAGGGGTCAGGGGCATGGACGTGGGAGCCCAGGAACAGGTCCACACACCTGTGACATCTCTCCACCAGGTACCGGGACCATTTGACGGAGGAAAGAAAACACTCTCCTTGAGAGAACTGGATACCCACATGGAAAAGGACGAAGCTGGACTCTAACCTCACACCACGTGGATGATAAGTCTTAGGCATCGGGGACTTAACCCAGGGACACTCGACCACTGGCCCCGTCCCCAACCCTATTTTGTATTTTATTTAGAGACAGGGCCTCACTGAGTTGCTTAGGGCCTCGCAGTTGCTGAGGCTGGCCTTGAACTCACAATCCTCCTGCCTCAGCCTCCCCAGCCGCTGGGAATGACAGGCATGGGCCACTGCGCCCATCCTAGGGGTAAATCTTTATGAGCTTGAATTTGGCAATGGGATTTCCACTTGGCCCAGCCATGAATTTTATCAAAATAGTTTTAAAGAGGAGAGAGGGAAGAGGAGAGGGAGAGACAGAGAGACTGACTGACTCTAAGTTCCCATTCGCTCCCCCTCTACCAGGGACTTCTGCCCCCAGGAGCTGAGGTTGGTGACTCCATTACTTGGTAATTTTGTTTGTTGACTGGCTTTCCAACCTTTCAGCTCCACAGGGAAAGGAGTTGGCCTCCTATGTTCCATCCTAGCCCTGCAGCACCCACAACAATGTTGGGCTCCTGGGCGTCCACTGGAGTGGCGTGTGACCGGCGCAGCCTGGCACCCAAGGACACATGCCCATGCTGCCCAGCACGGACCCGGACCGCAAGACAAAGGGTCATGGAAGTCCGCAGAAGGCAGGAGCCCAGCACTGGCCGAGCCCAACTGCCTCCCTCCATGGGCACCTCTGGACCTTGCACATAGTAGGTGCTCAGTAAACACGGGTTTCCCTGCTCTGATGTTTTGTTGCAAACATCTGATGGCTTTTCTCCTCGGTGCCCTGTGCATGGACACTCCTGTAGGGCCGGGCATGAAGCCCAGAACCGGGGTGAGGACAGAGAGGGACACAGCAGGGGACAGGATGACCATTACGTAACTCACAGAGAACAGCCACGGAGCTGTTCTCGGGGACCCCTGTGGGGACACTGCAGGGCTCTGTCCTCAATCCCACAACAGAAAACAGGGACGAGAAACCGCACGCAGGAGGGTGGGCGGGGCCACTGCAGGCCACCCGGCACCTCGTCCCCCACAGCCAAGTCTCTCCCGATGGCCCAACCTTCCCTGGCCACCAGGGGGTCCCTCCTCTCCGTGGGAAACCAAGACCTCTCCCCTCCCCAGTCTGTGGCACCTTCTCCCTTCACAGCTCCACTGGCTTGTCACCTCTTTGTCGTCTCTGGTGACAATTTAAACCTCACCTCCTTACTTGATGCTCTCTCTCTCTCTCTTTTTTTTTTTTTTTTTTGGTACCAGGGATTGACCTCAGAGGCCCTCGACCCCTAAGCCCTGTCCCCAGCCCCACTTTGTACTTTATTCAGAGACAGGGTCTCGCTGAGCTGCTTAGGGTCTCGCTTTTGCTGAGGCTGGCCTCCAACTTGCGATCCTCCTGCCTCAGCCTCCTGAGTGGCTGGGATGAACTAAGATGCTCTTGTGCGATTATCTTGGTTTCAAGCCTCCACAACTGACCGGTAAATCCACAGAGGCAGGAACCCTGAGCCGCATTCTTCTCTTGGCGCTCAGCACACCACTGGCATGCAATAACGTGTGTGGACTGACCAGTTCTTCACCTTAGTAAGCGTCTTGGAAATCATCACATTTCCCCTTTTGCTTTGGCTGCCAGGGAGCTCCATGCTGAATGGACAGCCCACCTAGTACCTTCACTTTCCCCTTCAGGTGCCAAGCCTGCGTTCTCCTCCGGCCTCAGTCTATACCTAGGACTCTCCCTGCTCAGACCTTTAAATCATTACTCTTTATCACGAAGCAAGCTGCTCCTGGGTTTTTGGAAGGAAGAGGCCAGGAATGGACACTTCCCTAGAAGTTCCCCAAATGGGCACCTGGAGCCTGACCCCAGTCTTATCTTGGTTCCATTCTGATCTGACCTCTTTCTGCCGCAGTCAGCGCCTCCGGCCCCTGCCCTCCGCTGGCCCTTGGGACCATGACAGATGTGTCCTCCTGGTCCAGCCCCTGGGTTATTGACTGGGGTCCCCTGGGACCGTCCACCTGAGCCCCCGCCAAGCCTCACCCCTCTCTCTCCTGGGAGCCTCTCTCTGCTGACAGGGAGAGCTCTGGCTCCGGCCTCATCTAGGACCCCCCCAGCCCGGCCAGGAGGGGAGGACAGGGAGCCCCGAGGGCTGCGGGATGTCCTGCCGGGTCACCCCTCCCGGCCATCTTGAGCAGACGCAGCCTCTCTCTGAGCCTCACTTTTCTACCCACACATCAGGGGCCTGCTGACCTCTGGCGCCCACGTGACTGAGTCCACTGCGAGTCCAGCCAGGCAGCTGGGGGTCAGGCCTCGCTGACACGGCCCCACCCCGAGGCAGGCTGGCAGGAGCAGATCCCCAGCAGCCACACACTCCCGCCTGCTCTCTGCTCCCACTAACGGGGCCCAAATGCCCGGGCCCTCGGAACCTCAGCCACTAACAAGAGCTGTGAGGTCTCCTCCAGAGAGGGGTCCTCAGTGGGCAGCCGGGGGCCCAGGTTGGTCTCTGTGTGGAATTTTAAAATCTTATAACAAGCACAAGTGTCATCCCAGTGGCTCAGGAGGCTGAGGCAGGAGGATGGCAAGGTGGAGGCCAGCCTCAGCAACTTAGTAAGGCCCTGAGCAACTCAGTGAGACCCTGTCCCTAAATGAAATGCAAAAAAGGGCTGGGGACGAGGCTCAGGGGTTAAGCAGCCTGGGTTTAATCCCTGGTGCCCAAAAGAAAAAAAAATGAGTTGGCACATTCATAAATAAGAAATTCTCATTTAATCATCTGAATTTCTGGCTTCTCTTAGAAAGTCAGGTGCACTGGCCACACGGGGCCCACCGTGGACGCACCGTGGACCTGCACAGCAGCCACAGCAGTCCTCCAGTGTGTCCCAGGTCTGTCGCCTGCCCACCAACTTCTTTATGTCCCCTGCTGGTCCCTGGGGATGGTTGAACTAGTTTTGAGCCCAACAGGTTTGGCAAGTCTTTATGAGAAGTCCTTGGAACTGAATCTTAAAGTTCAGCCTAATATAAAAACAGTCAGAAGCAGAAGAGGGTGAGGTGGATGGGGCCAGGGGCCAGGGTCTCCTCTCCCCCACTGCAGTCATCCCAGCAGGGTCTCTGAGATCTGTTCGCGGAGCCCAGACTGAAAGTCACCAACGTAGAAGTGACTGCGTCCCACGAAGCAGAAGGTTCAGGAGAAAATCCTTGTTTCTTTCCTTCTTTTCTTTCTTTCTTTTTGGTCCCAGGGATTGAACCCAGGTTGACTACCCCCTGAGCCCCGTCCCCAGCCCTTTTTCTGTTTTATTTAGAGACAGGGTCTCGCTGAGTGGCTTAGGGCCTTGCTAAGTGGCTGAGGCTGGCCTCCACCTTGCGATCCTCCTGCCTCAGCCTCCCACTGGGATCATAGGCGTGCGCCACGGTGCCCAGGTAAAAGCCCTGTTTCCACATCTCCTGACCAAGGGGAGCTCACTACATACCAAGAAGGCTTTCTGTGGCCTCTGTCTTCTCCTCCAGAGAGAAGTGACTCCCATGTTCCTCCTTCAATAGGAACAGAGAGGGTGGCCTGAGGCCCAGCGCCCACTCTGGCCACACCCCTGGTCGGAGGAGCCCCAGGTCCCCAGCGCCCTACCTTTAGCTCGTTGAGGTAGCGCCTCGTGTGCACCACCAGTAGGTCCTCCTCCGAGGCCTCCCGCGCCTCCACCAGCATGCCGTCTGACAGCAGGCTTTCCTCTGCAACAGACAGACAGACGGCGCTGCTTCCTCCTGCTCAGCTCCCACCCACCCGGCCCTCCCGGGCTGCAGCCTGGACCTGCACAGCCCTGTCCCCAGAGCTGGGCACGGTGAGCCTGGGGCATCCTGACCCCGGGCTGCCTCTCAGGCCACGGTGGATGACCGCCAGGCCCTCGGGTGAGGGTGACACTGAACCCTACACGCACAGCAAACCTCGGACTTCCCAGGCCACCAAGACAGCAGGCCTGTCCTCCACGCCCACCTGGCCTCCGCTCACATCTCTGTCACCAAGGGTGAGCGGCAGTTGAGCCACAGCCACCAGCCAGGACTGGATGACATAGCTGCTTCATGGCTTCCTTTTAACCATGACCTTCTATTTTTGGCCCGTGAGACTGGCTTTTCCCATTTAGATGACATAATGTTTCCTCTTCTATCAAATTTAAGTTTGTTAAAAAAAAAAAACAACAACAACAACCCAGAGGCGAAGTCATTAAAAATATGCAGTAAATAGTGGAACAGGTGGTATGAAGAGCCTGGCAGGCTCCCAAGAGTGGGTTGCAAGTGACTGGTGTTGGGCAACACGGCGTGATTTCCATCTCCCTTACGTCGACGAGATTTGCTCCATTTTGCAAAAGTAGAACCTGTGGCAGCTGCCCACGCCTAGAATCCCAGCCCCTCCGGAGGCCGAGGCAGGAGGATCGCAAGGTGGAGGCCAGCCTCAGCCACTTAGCAAGGCCCTAAGCCACTCAGCGAGACCCTGTCTCTAAATAAAATACAAAATAGGGCTGGGGAGGGGACTCATGGTTGAGGGCCCCTGAGTTCAATCCCAGGTACAAATAAATAAAAAAGCAACAGAAATCAGCCCTGGTGGGAACCAACTAGTGCCATACGTTTTCTATACAGAGCTCCAAGCAGGAACTCCATTCCAGAATATTCCATGGCTCCTTCCTTAGCAGGGCATCCAAGGCCCCTCGCCCCATGGCTCCTGCCTCCCTCCCATGCTCATCCTCGGGAGCCAGGAGTGAGCTGGCCTGACTATTGTCCCCTAGGAGAAGGAGACAGGAACTCTTCTGCTGAGATCCTGGGTGATGCAGAAGCCCCACAAGGGCCGAGCAGACAGTGAGGGAGGACATCATTGAGGAAGGCAGGGCCACTCCCGAGTGAGCGTCAGGCAGGCTCTTGCCTCTCAACTGGCCTCGGTTGTCACCGTCCCTGTCACCTGTGACTTTATGCTTCCTGTTTTCCTCTGAATGCCTACTCCAGCCCCTACTGCAAGTGGAAAGCCAGTCTCACTCGCCAGAGAGAAAAAACAACCAGAAATTTAAAAAATATAAGATGGAAAACAGCCAGTGTTATTAATCTCCAGTTGGACCCTATTTTCCACAGGACTCAGAGCACAAGCCTCGCTCTAGCTTTTGTGAAAAAGAGAACCGGGCTTAGGTGTCAAGGACAGGCTGGTCCCAAGGGGGGACCTTGCCCATGGTGTGATCAGGAGGGACAGTCAGATCCCAGGGCATCACTTTGGATGCTCTGAAGGAAAATCATCCAGGATAAGCCAGGAGTGGGCGGGGCCTGCAGACTCCCTCTCAGCTTCAGGCAAGCAGGGTGCTGTGTGTTTTAGGCATGTTTGCAACCTTTCTGGGCCCAGTTTCCCCATCTGTCATCAGACAACGTTGGAGCAAAAGCGCCCCAGGTCCCAGGTTCTCTGAGTGGGTATTAGAGTCCTTCAGACTCCCATGTCCCTGGGTCTAGCGTTAGCCAGCTCCTCCCTCTGGGTCTGTGGGGCAGAGGGGGGACTTTATCCGCAGCAGTGGGGAGCCACAGAGGGTGAGTCTGTGCTTGGGAGTCTGTTCTGGAAGATGCTTTTGCCACAGGGAGGAGCGTAAGGGAATGTGATGGTTGAATCCAGAGGCAAGAGTCTGATGCTCCCGATGGGGATGAGGATGGGGAGGACCCGGGTGGGTGAGGAAGCCCACACAGGGCCCCAGGAAACCTTCCCTACCTTTTAGGAAATTGATCACCTTGCCCCATTTCCCGGCATCGAAAGGGTGCAGCTTCTCCAGGCCCATGAAGGTAATGTTGTAGCGCGGGGAGTACACGATGGGCCAGTGTGTCTCTGGCACATGCTGGTAGAGCTGGCTGAAGTGTGGCCTTCCGTGCACAGGAGGGAGGACAGACACACGGCTGGGTCAGCCCTGGTGTGCAAAGCAGCCTCCCCGTCCCCTGATCAGCCCCCACTGACCCCCTCTGCTGCAGACAAGGGCCTCTTAACAGAAATCAGAATCGGAACAGGTCTGCACGGAGCCCTTGGCGGCTGGCCCTGAACCAGATTCCAACCCAGTCCTCCCTCCCAGCAGCCGCAGGAGCAGGAGCCACAATTGCACCCGACTCTCCAGGGACCAGGTGTGCCCAAGGTCACACGCCCAGTCGGTGCAGCAGTCGTCAGCGCACCCAGGTGTGTGGGCCTGCAAGGCCCAGGCCGTGCGGTGGCGGCTGTTGCAAGGGCTGCACTAGTGCATCCAAGGAGCGCGCACGGCAGGGCTCGGGGAGCTGCGGCACACCCCGGGGCCGGGCGGGGATCACTTGGGGTCACGCAGCTGTCCCCCTCCTCCCAAGCCGCGCAGCTGCCCCATGGGGACCCAAAACCTGCTCTGGCCGCCGCCGTGGGGACATCCGCACAGCTGCCGGGGCCTGGGCTGGGGCAGGCCGCGCACGAGGCCGCCCCGCCAGCTCCGGGGGCCGTCCCTGCGATCCGGAGATGACCAGGGGGCGACCAGAGGGCTGGCCTGCGCACCGGGCCCAGCGACCCTCGCCCGCCACAGTGGGGCCCGCACCTGGCGGGCCGGAGGGGCGGCCGCGCACTCGCGCCCCTGCCCGCAGGGACCCCGGGGACCCCCCGGGCTGCGCTGGCGCCCCGATCCGCACCCACCCGCGCCTCACTCACATCGCGGGGCCGGGCCCTCCCAGCGCTGGCCGCCGCTCCGCCACCGGGCAGGGCGGGGCGCGAGCGGGGCGGGGCCGTCTCAGGACACGCCCCTAGGCGGCCTGCTCGGCCGGGGAGGCGGAGCTCCTCCCGACTCCGCCCCCCGCGCCTGCGCCTGCGTCACAGAGGGATGAAAGCCCGCGAAGAACTGGAACGCAGAAAGGAGGCCTCGCCCCCAGCGCCCGTCAAACCCGAAGCCCCGCCCTCCTCAGAAGAATACCCAATAGGATCCCGCAACGTTCGTAAAGCCACGCCTTCGGGGGGCGGGCCGCGTGGGATTTCACCCCGGCGCGTCCAAGAGGAACGTGCGGCCGTGGCCCGCCCCGGGGGCGTGGCCACGCTTCGTCCCGCCTCCCCGCGCGCCGCCCTCTGGGAGCTCTCCTAGTCCGCTCAAACCTGCTTTCCCTGTGGGCCGTGCCGCAGACGCGCCGTGTGACTCCGGGCCGGCGTCTGCGCCTTCTGGACCTTGGCTCGCAGTGGGGAGCTGCGGGGACGGAGGGCGTCGCTCCGGTCTTACGCAGTAGAAGTCGCGATCCCTCCTGCTCGGAGGCCACTCCGGCGCCCCCCTGGGATCGCAGCCCCCCGCCTGGTCCCGCTGTGGGCCGCTCCTACGGGGGCAGGAACTCCCCGAGCAAGTCCTGCTGGCTCTGTGGTCCTCGGTTTCCCCGTCTGTGATCCAGGCTTCAGGGTCCACCGGGGTACCTGTGCACAGTCCCCGTCCCCATCCCCCCCCCCCACGGTGTCAATACACAGCCCTGTCCCCATCCCCCGCCAAGGTACTTGTGCACAGTCCCCGATCCCATCCCCCGCGACGACCCAGGACGTTGAGACAAGCCCCAGCGACACCGGGGGTGTCCGTGGGACTGGAACCCGCGAGGTGCACCCCACAAGAGAGGTCCAGAGAACTCCAACAATGGCCCTCTGTCCGCCTGGCTGTTTGCACGGGTTGGTGCAGCTGACAGAGCTCTGCCTGGATCCAGCAGCTGGGCACCCGGTGGCCCTGCTGCGGGCTCCAGGGCAGAGCCCGCAAGGCACCTGACCACAGGGTCGCGTTGGACCAATGGCTACCGTCCTGACCTTCAGACCCGAATTAAACCCAGGCTCGGTCCTCTGCCCAAACAGTGGCCTAGGGCAAATTAACGTCTGCCCAGCCACCTCCTGGGGCAGTTGCGACAACCAAGAGACGGTAATGTCGCTTGTTGAGAGAGTGCCTTTGTATTGTAGCTTCAAGTCTGAACAGTTTATGCTCCATGGAGAGTCTTATAACAGCCCAGGAGGCAAATTGTGTTGTCACCATTGTATAGAAGAGATGGAGGCACAGAAGGGTCAATTGCTCAAAGGTCAGAGACATGGACAGACTGTAGCGATGGAAGGGAAAAAGTAATGGGAGGGGCACTAGGGATTGAGCCTCAGGGCAATTTACCTCTGAGCTACACACCAGCCCTTTTATTTCTTCTTCTTGATACCAGGGATTGAACTCAGGGGCTCTCCATCACTGAGTCCCGTCCCCAGCCCTGTTTTATATTTTATTTAGAGACAGGGCCTCACTGAGTTGCTTAGTGCCTTGCTGTTGCTTAGGCTGGCCTCCAACTTGAGATCCTCCTGCCTCAGCCTCCTGAGCCACTGAGATGACTGGCATGTGCCACCGTGCCCGGCTTCTTCTTATTTTATTGAGACAGGATCTTACTAGGTTGCTTAGGGCCTCACTAAGTTGCTGAGGCTGGCCTTGAACTTCCGATCCTCCTGTCTCAGCCTCCCAAGCTGTTGGGATTACAGGTATATACAACCATGCCTGGCTGCCGCCGCCCGCCTGGCTGGGCAAAATAGCTGGGGGATGACGAACAACTTGTGTAGATTGATACAGCAGGAGTGGGAGCCCTTTATTGTAGGACAGGAGGGGTATATATACATTCCACACAGCTTATCTTAATTAGCATTAACTAGATACATCAGTCAACTAATAAGAAATCTTCACACTTAATGGCTTGCTGGTGTTACTTCACAAACCACTCCCTCTGGCATTTTGCCAGGCGCCATCCAGACTTGTTTACAGACTCTAACACCTGGCAGTAAAAAAATAATATAAAAAAGTGAGAGAGTGTGTACAGGGACCCGAGGTCATGCTGAGATGCTGGCTGAAGGGGAATCTCAGAACTTGATCTGGCATTTGGAAAACCAGAGATGAGCCTCTGGTTGGGGGAAGGTGGTCTGGGGCAGGCTGGGCCTGGGAGCCGAGGTCAAGGAGAGAGAGACTGGCTTGGGTAAAAGGGTGTTTTTAAGTTTTGTCTCCATGGCTGACAAGGCAGGTGATCTGGGGAGCCCCAGAGGCTTGGGGACATCTTCAACCCCTGAGCCGGCCTGCACTGCCTATCACACGTGGAATAAAGGAGTGGTTATATAAGCTGTTGTGTTTGGGAGGCTTTTAAAAATAGCATTCTAACAGGTGCGCTGAGAGAGAGAGAGAGAAAGAGAGAGAGAGAGAGAAGCACCTCAGATTTACAGTGGCCAGGGAAGCCCCCTTTGAAGAGATGATCTCTTTCTGCTGGGTATGGTGGTGACTGTCTGTGAATCCACTGATATGGGAGGCTGAGGCAGGAGGATCACAAGTGTGAGGCCCAAATCAACAACTTAATGAAGCCCTTTCTTAAAATCAAACATCCAATTTTTAAAAAGGGGGCCAGGGATGTTGCTCCATGGTAGGGTGCCCCTGGGTTCAATCCCCAGTACCACAAAATTTAACAATTAAAAATTTTAAAAAATAAGAGACAGAGAAATTGTCTCCTTTTCATTTTTTAAATCTCAATGTTTATTTTCTTTTAAAATATCACTGTGTTAAAACAAGACCCAAATTTACTGAACATTGCATACTTATTATTTTTTTTTCTTTTATACAATCTCAGGATATAAAGAGAATTCTGGGGGGCTGGGGTTGTGGCTCAGTGGTAGAGCGCTTGCCTAGCACATGTGAGGCACTGGGTTCGATTCTCAGCACCACATAAAAATGAATAAATAAAATAAAGATATTGTGTCCAAGTACAGCTACAAAATTTAAAAAAATCATCAGTCTCTCTCTGTATATAACTGTCCAACTGGTGAGATTCTACATCATGTAAAACCAGAAGAATGAGAAACTATATTCCGTTATATATGATGTATCAAAGTGCATTCTACTGTCATGTGTAATAATTAAAACAAATTAAAAATTTTTTTTAAATTATCAGTCTCTTCCTACTCCCCAAATTGCTGCTTTTAATTTATTTAGAAAGTAAATAGCATCCTATGTTTGCTGAAGGAAAATTAGAAAATACGGAAAGGTGGAAAGAAGAACACACATATTTGCTGGAAGAAAACACATATTCACTGAAGAAAGCAACTTAAAATACAGAAAGATAGGAGAATATTTAAGAGACCCACTTCTTTTAAAAAAAAAACATTTTTTTTCTCCTGAATTTCAGATTATTTCCTTAGTTAAATTTGAACCAAGAATGAGAACAAAGGAAAGGTCTTTGGTTCATCTCATCAAATAACACTTTCTAAATACCAAACCTATTTGCATTTCTCAGCATATCATGTGAGGACTCTGGCCACCGTTACATGATGGGGACACTTTGTGCCATGGATCATCCAGTTCTGAAGTGGGAGCATGGCTTCTCCTGTGATACTATATATATTGTCAGCTGCCCAGCAGGGGCCAGCAAGGAGGGGCAGGCATACAGTGTGGGAAAAATTCCATGTATCAGTCAGCTATCTCTGCATAACAAATAACCCCCAAACTTAAAGGTGTAAAACACAACATCCACTGATTCTCATGAAACCATCAGTGCGCTGGGTGGTTCTATTAATCTGGCTGGTCTTGGCTGTGGTCATTTGGTGGGTCAGCCTTGGCAGGGACATCTCTACCTTTGGAGTGAGTGTTCCAACCTGCTCCCCTGGGTCTATCCTCACGGCCGCAGCAGGATTCCAAGAGAGAAAATCAGAACCACCCAGGGCTTGTTCCACTCCTGCTTGGGTCAGCTGTCTCTCTTCCACTTGTCAAAGTCATGTGACCCAGCTCACAGCCAGGGCAGGAGGGTAGGTGCTACCAAGGGACACGAACACGGCCATCGAGAATAATTGGGACCATTATTGCAATCATCTACCACAAGCTGCGTCCTCAGCCGATGGGAACACAGTCTCCATGGCAACCACCAAGGGCCACTCTGAGCCCCCCCCCCGCCATGGCACCAAGGATATCTTGGTGGAAGGCGGCTGACCTCTGTCCACTCACGACTTGGCACCCCATTTGATCCCTGTGAAGTGTAAGTTGTGGGAGGACAGGAAGAGGGGAGTCCTTGAACTGTCACCCTGGAGACATGGGGTTTAGAAAAACTCAGTTGGGTACAAAAAAAAAAATCAAAGAAAGGGACAATTCAGGCACAGCTGGGTTTTATAGATGAGAATTCAAATCCACAAGAACTGAGGTTCACTGGCCGTCCATGGGTTGTGGAGAGGGTAACAAAGACCCCAGCAATTCACAGGGAGTTTCTGGAGCAGTGGAGAGAAAGAATCTTCTAGCAATCGGCCACTTTGAGGCCAGCAAGGTCCGTAACCTATCAACCAGACGGATGGCCTCATTTCCTAGCCCAGAGAGGTTGAACGACTCCTTGGAGGTCACACAGCAAGCTAAGGCAGCCAGTAAGGAGCTGAGTTCCCCATTCTGTCTGCAGCGCCGGGTGACTGCTGGGGTTTGCTGCAAACATTCAAATTATTTCTTAATTGGAGTCTCCTGCTTAATTAGTGCTTCCTGAGCAGACTGTGCTCCACGGGCTCAAAACCTCAATCAACACGATCATCTCTAAATTGCTGAGACCTCACTCTTCTCCACATGACGATGCATCATGGGTTTTGCTCAGTAGGACAGCCGGAGAGGGGACAGGGACATGCAGTCCCCCTTGGCAGAAAGAAAGCAGCTGTTCTCGCCACCACCCGCTGTTCCAGAGACTTCTTAGTGCTTCATGGCTACACACGGGGGTGGGGG